AAAGGAGACCAATTTTCCTCAAGTATTTGTTTTCTTATGAATAGAACGTGTTTGTTTTTATATGAGGTGTTTTAATGGTCCCTCAATGTATCTTTTATGTCCTAGCTTAAAATATCTAGTTCGGAGAGCAAATGTAATTACAGTGTTTCAAGTCCCTCATGTAAAACATATTTTGATGAGAATGGTCAATTTTGGTATGCACTAGAACCAGAGTATACAGAGGAAGAACTCCGGCAAATAGAAGATGCCGAAAGTTCTCGACATCTTGATATAGTAATCAACCCTCGTCAGCATAATACAAAATGCTGTTCATTTATAAAATGTATTGTCATGCCATTGACGGCTGAATGTCTATGTTGCAACAAATTTACACTGTTCGAAGGTAAAATAGAAATGGGGGAATGTATTACTGACAATGACGATTTAAGAACAGTTTGTATCAACCCCATTGTTCTTGAAACAAGCTATATTACTTTCCTGAGATAAAAGCGCCATCGAGGATGAGCTCCAGAGGTACTTTCTAACAGACAAAGCCGACTTATGGCGTATCGTCAGTTTGTTTGTTGGGTCAGGAGAGGCCAACAACTTGGCAAGAAAAACAGAAGAACCCTACAAGCTTATGTTGTCAACACTATCAGAAAAGAGTTCCCATCACCGGATGGGGTATATGAAGGCTTCAAAGAATGTACAAGTGACATGTCTGACTCTGAATAGTCAGTAAACAGACTAAACATTGATAAACAGTCATGGACTTTTTATATAGACTTTCAATTTCATATATATTTTGTGTATCAATAAATATATTTTCCTCACTTTATTTCGCTTTCTTATTTGATTTATAAGACTTATTTCATTTACGAAAGTTTGATATTGTAAAGTGCATGCATGTACATTTATAAGAGTGATTATTTCTCTTATGTCTGACGATAGCTTTATGCCTGCATGGTATACTTTGCCTTACATTTTTATATTGGTTTGGTGGGTGTTGATTCAAAATCGTAATTTGAATAATGATAGTTTTTATGCAAACTGAAGGATTTTAGGGAATCTGTAGTATCAATGTCTTGTAATCATATCTCTTATCTCTGTCGACGATAGATTAATTCCTGCATGGTGAACTAAGCCAAACGTTACTATTCGTCTCTGGTGTGTAAGTTTTTAGAAGAAATTTGAATAATAATATTTATATGCAAACTGAAGGATATGAAATTTAAATGTTTTATGTGAAAAATAACGAGGACGGGATCGGTGTATTACACAAAGTCAGCCAAAGCCAACCCAAATGATAAATCCTAGCCTCTTTACTTTGATCTGAAATTAAGATTGTCAGGTAAAAAAAGAACAGCGCTTTTGTTTAGGACTAGAGTTAAAATATAGCATTTGCTAATAATACATGCAAAATAGTAAGACATATGTATTCCCGAGCGTATAATGCACAAACAATAGGGTTGTTGTGTACTCTTAAACTTAGTTAAGCTGTACGGTTTCTGAATATTCTGTAATCAATTTATGAAGATTGATCAAGATATAGATTCACTCAGATACCGATTGTTCTCTTTTCTTCTATTTCACAAATAAACCGCTGAAGTCAGGAATTCGGCATATGGCAGTTATTTGATATTCTCTGTTTGTATATAATTGGAAGCATTATGGAACTGTGTCAGCCTAATGGACTTTCATCTTTAGAATTCCCTTTGCATTAAATATCTATGTTATATAAAAGATTGTATTCATTTTGCAGTGGAAACTAAAATTTGCAATGTATTAAGCTTTGGATTGTTGATTGATTGATTGGTGCTTAACACCACTTTCAGCACTATTGTGCTATTTCGTGGCAGTCAGTTTTTATTGGTGGAGGAAGCCAGAGTGCCCTGAGAGAACCACCGACCTTTGGTAGGAAAACTGACAATCCTAGTCAATTCAGATTGGAGTCGAGCGCACCTGTGACGTGCAGGATTCGAACTCACAACTTCAGTGTTCACAGATACAGTAGTTCGACAACTCAGCCACCGAGGCCCCCCTTTTTAAGCTTTGGAAAGCATTACTTTGAATTGGAGATATAATTGTAGTTCTTTAAACTACAATAATGTATAAAGGAAGATTACTGCAATTCTAAAAATTACTGATATCTCATTTAGAGGTAGACTTTAACCTGCTGACCATTTCTCTGGAGCCTATTTTGCTCTTACTGCTTCAGTTTTTTAAAATATAAGCCAAAATTGTAAGCATACTCTATGCCCCCACATTATATCTGGGTAAACAAAATTTCTTGTGGATATGCACATCTACATTTTATGTCACTAACTACATAGTTTCAAGAATTTTTTTTTGTGTAGTTTCAGAGGAGTTGTGATGACAAACTGTTGCAGAAGTATATTTAGGCAAAAATTCTAAGTTCAAAGGGGCATAACTGCTAGAAAAAATATTGAATCATACTTTCCTATCTATGCACATCTACATAGTATGTCCTTATTATCTACAAAGTTTCATGGAATTCTGTTGTGTGGTTAAGAGAAATTGCTATGACAAACTGTTGCAGTAGTATATTTAGGCAAACATTCTAAGTTCAAAGGGGCATAACTCCTAGATAAACAAGAGTGCACACACTGAAATGTCTCGCCTACTATACTGACCATTGATTTTATGTTGATAGTCCTACATATAAAGTTATACTACAAGTTTCACATTAACATTTATGATCCAAGAAAATGAGGTTAAGGTCAGATAAACAAAGGCGGAAATACATGTACACCTGTAATACAATCATTCCATACTCAGAATATAGATGACCTATTGCTTATAGTATAAATGAAACAGACCAAACCTTGGAAATTCTATATTGACCAATGAACCATGAAAATGAAGTCAAGGTCAGATGAACCCTGCCTGACAGACATGTACACCTTAAAATCATTCCATGCATCAAATATAGTTGACCTATTGCTTATAGTGTCTAAGAAACAAAGTAAACCAGGAAAACTGAACATTGACCAATGAACCATGAAAATGAGGTGAAGTCAAATGATACCTGCCAGACTGACATATACACCATACAATAATTCCATACACCAAATATAGTTGACCTATTGCTTAAAGTTTAAGAAAAACAGACCAAAACACAAAAACTTAACATAAGCAATGAACCAAGAAAATGAGGTCATGGTCAAATAAAACCTGCCAGACTGACATGTACACCGTAAAATATTTCCATACACCAAATATAGTTGGTCTACTGCATACAGTATTAGAAAAACAGACCAAAACACAAAAACTTAACATTGAGCAATGAACTGTGAAAATGAGGTCAAGGTCAAATAAAACCTGCCAGACTGACATGTACATCGTAAAATATTTCCATACACCAAATATAGTTGACCTATTGCATACAGTATTAGAAAAACAGACCAAAACACAAAAACTAAACTATTACCACTGAACCATGAAAGTGAGGTCAAGGTCAGATGACACCTGCCAGTTGGACATGTACACCTTACAATCATTACATACACTAAATATAGTAGACCTATTGCTTATAGTATCTGAGATATAGACTTGACCACGAAAACTTAACCTTGTTCACTGATCCATGAAATGAGGTCGAGGTCAAGTGAAAACTGTCTGACAGACATGAGGACCTTGCAAGGTACGCACATACCAAATATAATTATCCTATTACTCATAATAAGAGAGAAATTAACATAACAAAAAATCTTAACTTTTTTTCAAGTAGTCACTGAACCATGAAAATGAGGTCAAGGACAATGGACATATGACTGACTGAAACTTCATATCATAAGGAATCTATATACAAAGTATGAAGCATCCAGGTCTTCTACCTTCTGAAATATTAAGCTTTTAGGAAGTTAGTTAACGCCACTGCTGCCGCCACCGGATCACTATCCCTATGTCAAGCTTTCTGCGACAAAAGTCGCAGGCTCGACAAAAATTGAATCATAAATTCCTTTTGATATGCACATCTACATAGTATGTCCTTATTATCCACAAAGTTTCATGGAATTATGTTGTGTGGTTTTAGAGGAGTTGAGGTGAAAAGAACAGGATTGATGAACTGATGGACGGACAGACAGACAGATAAGATAGACTGATGGTTCAAAAACATTATACCCTAGGTAACTTTGTTACGTGGGGTATAATTAGCTAAACATCGACATTTTAGATCGAGGGCAATAATAACTGCAAAATGAGTTGTCTAATTTTACTAAAGATGTCATAGGAGATAGATCTTGACCTGCTTATAATATAATTTGTCATTGTCAGTTTTGCTCTAAGTGTTTAAGTTTTTGAGATATGAGCCAAAAACTGAAATTTTGGGGGCAGTAACTCCAAAATGGGTTATCAAATTATTCTTAAAATGTAATAGGAGATACCCTTAACCTGCTGATCATTTTAAGTTTTGTCAGTTTTGTTATGACTGCTTTGATTTTTGAGATATAAGCCAAAAACTGCATTTTATCCCCATATTCTATTTTTAGCAACAGTGGCCATTTTTGTTAATGGATCAAATCCCCTTATACATTTTTAAACAAGATACCCTTAGGAACATTCAAATACAGATTTGTGTAATTTGCCCCACTAGTTTATGATTAGATTTAAAAAAAAAAATCTGATTACGGATGGACAGACAGACAATGGATGCCAAGTGATGGCAAAAGCTCACATGGCCTTTTACTCTAGGTGAGCTAAAAAGATGATAAATTTTCTATGTTTTTTAGAGGGGGAGGGATACCATGGGACAAACAATTAATGTGATATCTTTTCCAACATATTTAATTCAAACATAATACATATTGTCAGTGATTAGAGTATTAAACTAACTTGTTATTAAGAACCCCCCAAAAAAAAACAAAAAATAAAAAATAAAAGACGTTTAAGAGACTACAGCTTTTCTTGTTTTAGGTAATTCTGTTAGATCTTGTCATGTGCAATTACTCATAGAAATTCACTTTCAACTATAAGTTTACTTTGTAACATGCTATTACCTTTTGTAAACCTCTGATTTGTTCATGTTCTGTGCTACTAGCTGTGGATATTCTAATCTCTGTATGAGCCATACCAGTTTGTGCATCATCAGATTTCTTCCCTAACAAACTGAAGACTTTTTCAAGTACACATTCTTTGACTAATGAGTTAACCAAGGACATGTCTACAGGTTGACCAGCATCAATAAACAATTGAAGTCCTTTATGACCAAGCGCTTCCATTACTACAATGTGTCATTCAATAAATCAGATTAGTTAAAGATTTATAAAGATTTAGATTCTTTTGAGTTCAAAGTCTTTTGTAATAATTTTAGAAAAATTTTTAACAATTTTTGGCAAACTTCAAATATTTCACATCCATCTGGCAGCTAGTTGTTCTTTGTCAAAATACATTGTTCTAACATTGATTTACAATATAATTATGTTTCTGTGATCCATCTAGGGTAATATTGTGCAGTTATATCACTTACTTCAGTTTACAGTACTTTGCATATTTAAAAGGTACTTATAACCTTTCACTTAAAGGGTAAATTCGTGAATTTTGACTTGTCATCTAAATATGTTAATAATACTATTAGTTACATAGTGTGCTAGTGACCTAATACGGTATATATGGAATTTACTGACCCCATATATACCGTATTACGTCACTAGCACACTATGTAACGAATTTATCTTACCGACTATCTTAACGTGTGAAATTTAAACTAGTGACCTATCAAAATGAGCAAGTCTTCAATACCGTTAGCATTAAGAAACTACTTCAATTGATCCTACAAAAACAGATGCCAACAATAACAACTTGTTAGGTTTAAATGTGTTTTATAAATTTATTTCAATCTTCATCATCAATTTTCTCAGTACCGTTTTGTTTTTATAAAGGGACGTAACACCACTACAAACCGTGTATGAAATAAGCCCCACCTCCCTACTAACCTAATATGGAATATACACGGTCTCCATGCGGACGCTTTTAACCAATCATATTCCAAGAAATGTATAGGAGGTAAGATAAAATAAAATACATATTCACAAGTTTTATGGATATATGACACTAATAAGGAAGAAAATGATAAACCATTAATTTTATTTATTGACTTTTACTAGTCAATTGTGATGTATTTTATGACTGTGGTATGTCAGGAGCTAATCTAAATCATTTAAAGCCTTGTTCACTAATCTATTTAGTGCAATTTTGAATCACGACAATGATTCTTTTTCAAAGCTTAAAACAATCCAACAATAAAAATATAAAACGGACAGACATGCAATTTTTTACTTTTATTAGTTAAAAGATATTTTTGATTTTTGATAATGTTGATATTTTGGCAGTGCTAAAAGTAATAATATCCTGAATCCTACTAGAAATTTAGTACAATTCAGAATCCTCCTAGTACAGACAAGAATAAAAATTAATTTTTTGAAGATTTGTGTATTAAAACTGTGACGTGTCTGTCTAAAGAGCCTGTGTCGCTCACCTTGGTCTATGTGCATATTCAATAAAAAAACAATAAAACAAAATCATCATTTAAGGATAATCACTCCTATAAAGAGTGACAGTCTACTAACTATATCAGCAAAATTTGACTTGTTAGTAGATCTTGCCTTGCTGATCATTTTTGTGATTTAAAGTATCTATCTATTATATTTTTTATCATATAAGGCAAAACACAAAAAAAATGGTAAAAACCGTCATTAAAGGGCAATAACTCCAATACGGAGTCATCCGACAATTTCCTCCATATTGTCTTAATTGTAGATCTTGTCTTACTGATCATTTTTGGTTATTTAAGTTTTTATCTATCTATTATAATTTTAAGATACAAGGCAAAAACGCCAAAAAATGGTAAAAATCGTCATCAAAGGGCAATAACTCTAATAAGGAATCAACTGGCAATTTCGACCATGGGGGAACTTGTTTGTAGAACTTGTCTTGCTGATCATTTTTGCATTTTAAAGTTTCTCCCCATCTATTATAGTTTTCAAGATAATAGGCAAAAATGAAAATAAACTGTTATCACAGAGATATGTCTCGCCTTTTTGTAATTTTGATAATGCAAATGTTGAAATTAAAATAGCAATACTTTAACATGTAAGGTATGCAAATATTCAAAGTCCATGAACCATGACTGAAGGTACATACCTAAACAATCTCCATGGAATGAGATGTGCCAATACTAATACAACTGCATACCAAATACCATTGACTTATTATAAGTCGTTCCCTTTAAACAAACCTAAACACAAACATTAACTTGTAAACTATGTAAAAGTTTCAAAGTCAATGAACCATCATCAGGGGTGGGGCTATATAATCTCCATGGAAATGATACTTGCAAATGCCAATAAATTTGCATTCCAAATATCATATTGACTTAACATTAGCAGTTCATCTTAAACTGATCTAATCACAAACTAATACATGTAAACTAAGCAAAAGTTTCAAAGTAAATAGACCATGACTGAGGGGGCGGGGCCAAATATTCTCCATGGAAACGAGATGTGCTAATGCTTATACAACTGAACACCAATTAACATTGGCCTACCACTAATGGTTCCCCTTGAACTGACCTAATCACAAACTAATACATGTTAACTTAGCAAAATTTTCAAAGTCTATAGACCATGACTAAGGGGGCGGAGCCAAATAATCTCCGTGGAAATGAGATATGCCAAATGCTTATACAACTGCATACCAAATATCATTGACCTACCACTAGTGGTTCCCCATAAATTGACCTAATCACAAACTAATACATGTAAACTATGAAAAGTTTCAAAGTCAATAGACCTTGACTGAGGGGGCGGGGCCAAATAATCTCCATGGTAATGAGATGTGCCAATGCTAATACAACTGCATACCAAATATCATTGACCTACCACTAGTGGTTCACCATGAACTAGACCTAATCAAAAACTAATACATTGTTGACATCGCCGCCGACGCCGGAAAACAGCATACCTATGTCTCGCTTTTTGACTCCGTCAAGGCGAGACAAAAATGGTAAAATTTGTCATTTAAGGGCAATAACTCCTATAAGAAGTTGTATGACAGTTTTGACATATATGAACAATTGGTAGAGCTCAACATTCTGCTAATTAAGTATATATGTATGCATTGGTTCAATAATTTCTTTAACAATATATTTACACGAAACTCGTTTCATGTGACTTTAAAGAGCAATTACTCCAATAAGTAGTTGACTGACAATTTCATCCATATTGATTAATTTATAGATCTTGTCTTGCTGATCATTTTTGCTATTTAAATGTCTATCTATCTATTATAGTTTTCAAGAAAATGGGCAAAAATGAAAGAAATTGGTAAAATAAACTATAAGAGGTTGTCTGACAGTTTGATATAAAGGAACATTAGGTAGTGCTCAACATTGTGAAATTTCTACCCTTGTCAGATTTTCTCTATATAAAGCAGTTTACAAGATATTAGACAAAACTAGCATTTTACCCCTATGCTCTATTTTTAGCCATGATGGACATGTTAGTTTGCTGGCGAGGTCATCAGATACATTTTTACAACTAGATACCCAAATGATGATTGCAGTCAAGTTTGGTCAAATTTGGCTCTGACAGTAGGTTCAGAGGAGAAGATTTTTGTAAAAGCTAACAGACCACAACAGACGACAGACTCCAAGTGAGGAGAAAATCTCACTAAAAATGGTCAGAACAAAATGACAGTTTAATACAGTCAACTGAAAATGATGGCAAACAACACAACCAAGTATAAGAGCTCTTTGTGTCAGATGAGTTCCACTCACAAGGTGTCACAATACTCCAAAAAAAGTCAAAGCCAACAACTCCCATAAAAATGGTCATTTCAAAATAAAGATTTATATATATATGGGGGTAATATGGTCAACTACATATAATGGCAAACAATAGTACCAATAAGCAGAGCTTTCTGTTTTATATTCTCAGAGGAGTTGCTTTCACAATGTACCATTATTAGAATACTAAAACTAGAGGCTCTAAAAGAGCCTGTCACAGTTGCTCACCTAGGTCTATGTGCATCTTCAACAATAGACATTTACCAACATTATGGAGTACCACATCTCCTTATTTTTATAGAATGGAATTCATGACAAAAATATATTTTTGTTTATCTTGTGTTGGTGATAATTTTTTTCTGCCTACAGCTTCTTCTACAATCTTCAGTTTTTGCCAAAAACACAAAAAGGGTAAAAAAAATAGTCATTTGATGGCAATCACTCCTATAAGCAATTTACTAACAATTTCAGCAAAATTTGCATTGTTTGTAGATCTTGTTTAGCTGATAATTTTTGCCTTTTAAAGTATCTATCTATCTTTAATAGATAATAGGCAACATAGCCAAAAATTGGTGAAAATCTTCATTAAAGAGCAACCTGGCAAAGTTGACTCATGGAGATCATGACTTGTATTTCATTTTTGCTATTTAAAGTGTCTATCTATCCATTATAGTTTTTAAGATATTACGTCATTAAAGGGCAATAACTCCAATAAGGAGGTGACTAACAATATTGCCCATGTTGAATTATTTGTAGATCTTGTATTGCATTTCATTTTTGCTATTTCAAATGTCTATCTATCTATTATAGTCTTTAAGGTATCAGCCAAAAACACAAAACAATTATAAACTGTTGACACAGAGATATGTCTTGCCTGTCGGCAGAAAATTTGAAAAAAGACAATCTGATGGACAGCAACATCGCTAATTAATTAATCAAAATCACTGGACCTTGAAGTAGGGGGAAGGGCCTAAAAATAATCGACGAAATAAGATGAACTGATAGTAATTCAACTTTATAGAAAATATCATTGTCTACCATAAGTAGTTCCTATCAAACTTACTTAAGCAGAAAACTTAACATTGAAAATTGGTACTTAATTAAAAGTCACTGGACCATAACATACAGGGGAAGGGCTTCAAAATAGTTGTCAAACTAATATGTTCTGATATAGTAATGCAACTTCATACAAACTATCACTGATCTATCACAATTGCAAGTAGTTCCTATCAAACTGACTCAAGCAGAAAACTTAACATTGAAAATTGCTAATTAATTCAAAGTCACTGGACCATGACCTTGGAGGCAGTGCCTCAAAATAGTCGTCAAGTTGATATTTACTGATAGTATTGCATTTTATACAAAATGCCATTGATCTATCACATGCTTTCCATGACTTTTGTGGCAGGCTAGGCAAAAATCATTATGAAAGGGCAGTAACTCCAATGAGGAGTCGTTTTAGGATTTGGACCATGATACTTATTTGTAGATCTTGTCTTGCTGATCATTTTTGCTGATTAAAGTATTTCTCTATCTAATATAGTTTTCAAGCTAATAGGCAAATATAAAAACAAATTGGTAAAATTCATCATTAAAGGGCAATCACTTCTATAAGCTGTTGTCTGACAGTTTTGATGAAAATTGGCAGTAGGTAGATCTCAATATTTTGAACTTTTCTGCCCCTGTCAGGCGTTCTCTATTTAAAGCAGTTATAAAGATAATACACAAAACTTGCTTTTCACCCCCATGTTCAATTCTTAGCCATGTTGGCCATGTTGGTTGGCAGGCATTAAAACTAGATACCCAAATGATAATTGTGGCCAAGTTTGTTTAAAATTGGTCCAGTATTTTCAGAGGAGAAGATTTTTGTAAATATTAGACCATTAAAATGCAGGACGGACCACAACAATGGACGCAGGATGCCACGTAATGGGCCAGGTGAGCTAAAAACCTCAAGTTTAAATTATCAAAACAAACTGACGATACAGCATGGTCAAGAGAATATGATGACAAATAATCCTACAAAGTATGAAAGTTGTATGTCTCTAAGTATTGATGTGTTTTGGATGGATGGAGACAGACCATTACTTATCCCGGCTGCAAGACACGCAAGAGACAAAAAAAATATGTTCACTACTTCTTCATAGCTTTGGGTATAATAAAATAATTATAAGCTTTTAATTACATTTTATAAAACCTTATCTTTGATTTTAAATAGTCCTTTTGCAATGAAGAGATTATTAGTTCACCTATGCAAAGTAGTGATAACATCAAAGCAAACAAATTGCAGGAAAAAACTAACTTACAAAACATAGAATTTTCATGATCACTACAAACACTTTCTTCAACTTCCTCAACAAAATGGCTGATATGAGGTGTTTCAATTGTTCTTTTTGTTGACATCTGCGATATTACTTTGGCCATCAACTCTTGTTCCACCCTAAAAATATAAAAATTGCTCACCTGGTAACAATAGGAAACAATAAAGTTACCAGCAACAGTAGATGCCATCTTATATAAACTAATTAAATTTTGACATGGTTTGTTTGATCGAGTCATTTTTTTTTATATCCTATTTTGCAGATTAGTTTTGCTCTTTACAGTTTTTCTGTATCTTCTATGGTATCTGCCAAAATTGCAAAAAATTGGGGAACAAATCATCATTGAAGGGCAATAACTCCTTTAAGGTGTCAACTGACATGTTGATTTATATGTAGATTTTCTCTAGCTGATTATATTTGTAGGTTAAAGTTTCTCTCTATCCATAACTTAGAGACTATAGCATTGCTTGTGAGCACTAAAGTATACTGATTGCATTCATTTGACAATGGGAACTAAAAATTAAGCATAGCATTGTATCAACCATTGGAAGGCAATGTTATGTATGAATTGGAGATGTGTTCCTTTGTAGATAATTGTTGTTTGTTCAATTAATATTACAATTATAGACAAAGGAAGATAATTCTAATTTTGATAAATAGCTGAGCAAAGAGCACATGATACACACTTGTTGTGCATTCTTAAATTGTTGCAGGAATAAAAGGATATTTTGAAGGTATTTTATCATAAGCAAATAAAATGGCTCTGTAAAAAAAAACATGCCTGAGGACACCGTTTATTAAATCGAACAGTTTGTTATATTCACCAATTCCAACAATTATGTAAAGTTTCAACTAAATCAATCCAAGCAAACTCAAGTTATGGTACAAAATGTGAAAAATTTACTAAAATCTGATAGTCCCACAACTGTGGAGCGCCAAACCCGAAAATTGGTTAAAAATCAAAAGAGAGCTCCAATTCATCAATCTGTACAACAATGTAAAATTTGAAGGAAATCAATCCAGGAATACTGGAGTTAGTTATATGAGAATTTGTTGGGGCGATTTTGAGTACAAAGAGTTGATGGACGGATGTTGGTATACCATAATACATCCCCATTTTGACGAATGTATAACAAGAATGTCTCCATAGTAGACGGATGCCCCACTCGCACTATAATTTTCTATGTTCAGTGGACCGTGAAATTGGGGTCAAAACTCTAATTTGGCATTAAAATTAGAAAGATCATATCATAGGGAACATGTGTACTAAGTTTCAAGTTGATTGGACTTCAACTTCATCAAAAACTACCTTGACCAAAAACTTTAACCTGAAGCAGATGGACGTACGAACGAATAGACGCACATAACAAATAACATAATGCCCCTCTACTATCGTAGGTGGGGCATAAAAATTTCTTTAACACTGACATCATGATTGTTTTAAAATAAAGATTAAAATCATGCATCATGATGATACAAACACAGCCGAGTGAGTGAGTTTGTCTACAGAGACAGGAAGGATGATCTATTAAAAAACAATAAACTGTTGACAGAGATGTCTCCTCTGTACATGTTATCCTGACAGTAAAATGCATATATTGAAATTAAAATTGAAATGCTTTAACATGTAATCTATGTAAAACATTTGTAGCCAATGAATCCAAGACTTAAGCTGCTTGGCAAAGTAATCTGAATAGAAATAAGATATGCCAATAATTTTTATTGTACTTATACTAGTATAAGCATCTCAAATTTGAAGAGTTTTGTAAATTTATTCTTAAGTTAAATATTAATCAAACAACATTATTTTAACTTATCATCAACTTTATATCAAAGACAAAACTTTAGGATCTGAAGAAAAGAGTTTATATAAAAAAGATGTTTTAATAAACTATGGCAAGTTTGGTTTATTGTTTTCTGAAATTTTAAATGATGTAAAACACTAACAAGAGTGCACACACTGAAAAGTCTCACCTGCTTTAATATTCATGATTTATTTTATATTGATTGTACTAAAAATAAAGTTTTACTTGTATCACATAACCTCAACATTATTAAAGATCCATGAAAATGAGGTCAAGGTCAGATAAACCAAGCCAAACAGACATGTTCACCTTACAATCATTACATAAATCATACCATAAAGCTGTTTTGATAAGTTTGTTATATTTCAATGTATTTCATGAGGGCCTCAGGGAAGATTACTTTTATAGCTAACTGTGTAACCCTCTTTAAATAAAGAATTATTATTATTATTATTACATACACAAAATATAGTTGACCTATTGCTTATAGCATACAAGAAACAGACAAAACCATGAAAACTTAATATAGACCAATGAACCATGAAAATGAGGTCAAGGTCAAATGACCCATGCCAGACAGACATGCACACCTTACAATCATTCCATACATAAACATAGTTGATCTTATTGCTTATAGTATCTAAGAAAATGACCAAAAATATAACACTGACCAATGAACCATGAAATTTAGGTCATGGACAGATGATACCAGCCAGATAGACATGTACACCTTACAATCATTCCATACACAATATATAGTTGACCAATTGCTTATAGTATTAGAAAAACAGACCTAAACACAAAAAGATAACATTGACCAATGAAAATGAGGTCAAGGTCAGCTGAAACCTGCCAGACTGACATGTCCATCTTACAATCATTCCATACACCAAATATAGTTGACCTACTGCTTACAGTATTTGATAAAACAGACCTAATCAAGTAACTTTATTCTTGATCACTGATCCATGTAATTAGGTCCAGGTCAGGTGAACCCTATTTGATGGACATGTAGACCTAGCAAGTAGCCCATATACCAAACATAGTTGTCCTATTACTCAGAATAAGAGAGAAATTCACATAAAATACACAAAAGGAGAAGGTCCGGCTAATTTTGGCCTTAAATTTGAAGTACATCTGATAAAAGATTTTTGACATTTTTTTAACACTCAAGTGTCTATTTCAGTCGATTCAATTAGTTCATGTAGAAGATTTGAACTGATTTGTTCATTAAAGAGGCCTCAAATGCAAGCTTAAAAATGAAAAATCTATTAAATATGCCATAAATGTCACTTTCAGATAGTTTTTTGTCTAAAATGTAAGTGGCCGCATTCGTGTTCAGTCTCAACCTTTATATATGTTATGTATCATCATCAAATACAATATATATTAAAATATTAAGACTGAGCACAAGTACGGCCACTTCCATTTTAGACAAAAACCGTCTAAACATTTGCACAAATGCTAAAATTGTGAAGATTTCAGTAATTTTACATGAACTTATAATGCTAGTACCTGAAGCATTGTATTGTCAAAAAACAGCCCATATTTATGAAACAAAAGTATTCTACTTTCCAAAAAATAGCTAAAATTTTACATTATTACCAAATTTGTAAAAGTACTATATTTTGGGGCCAAAAAGGGGTCTTACCGGGCCCACTCCTTTGTTTTTTAATCAGTTGCTGAACCATGAAAATGAGGTCAAGGACAATTGGACAGACAGAAAGTTTGTAACATAAAGTATCTGTATACAAGGTATGAAGCATCCAGGTCTTCTACCTTCTGAAATATAAAGCTTTATACAAATAGTTTACATCGCCACCACCTGATTGTAATCCCTATGTCATACTGCGACTACCATGGAAAACTGAACCCCCTTATAGATCTCAGTTTTTCAAATTGTCATAGCTATTCCAGCTATGTTATATAGTTATAATATAAAATAAATTAGTAAGTACATGGTATAGTTATAATGCATTAATAAGAACATGGTAAGAATAAAAAATGTTAGAAAATATTTTTAAACATTTTTACTCAGCCATGGAAAATTTACCTCCCCCCCCCCCCAACTACAATGGAAAACTGAACCCCCCTAATGGACCTCAGATTTTCAAACTGTCACAGTTATTCCAGCCGTGGCATATAGTAAAAATACATCTATAAGTACTTGGTAGGAATAAAACTGGTCAAAAAATATATTTTTAAAATTTTTAACTTAGCCATGGAAAATTGAACCCCCTCTAGACCTCAGTTTTTCAAATTGTCATAGCTTTTCAAACTACTTTATATAGTTATAACGCTTAACCTTATGTTTTTTGAAATTCATTGAAAGGAAATAAAGGGGGTTCAATTTTCCATATGACACCTGCTTATTCATTTTGAGAAACAAAGCAGCATGCAAATTTATTTTCATCTTTGTACAAAATTACTTCCTGTATTTTGTAGGGCATAATCCTGTTTTTGCCAAGATTCATTTTTTCCAGTTCTTATTAGGCTAGGATATTAATTTCATTTCCCTTAACGAATAGATATGTGTTTTTATTACATTGATAGCAAGAATTACTGTGACTTCCCAGTGAAATAAAAACCAATAATTTCACATGTGAAATTAAAGAACCTTTGTGAGCACGCTCACATACCCCACGTCCCCACATTGGCTAAACAAAATCTCATCAGATTACTAAGCTCAAAGACTCCTAAATCCTACAAAAGTCAACTAATAAAATTTTCTTAAGGATATGCAAATCTACATAGTATGTCCTAATTATCTACAAAGTTTGATGAAATTCTGTAGTGAGGTTTCAGAGGAGTTGCGATGACAAATTGTTGCAAACAAATTCCCCATAAGTATAAACCCATAAGGACTCTCCCTATTATTCATTCAATTCAATAGAATTTCCAATTTTTTTGCAAAAATTTTGTATAAATGAATAAAATCGGTTCAAGGTCAAAGGTCAAGGTCATAATTGACCATTGAACTTTTGACCTGAAGTAGGCCATATGTTCCCATGGTCATTACTGAAGACCCCATTTGTCTATCACTAACTGTTCTCATGTTATAATCATTTGAAAATAAAAAGTTCAAAAATCCCATGGGTTCTATAGTAAACTCCTCCCTTCTGTTGGCCTCTCAAAGTACCCCTTTATAAACCCCAGTGCACAAACAAAACCCCGATGGCACCACTAGACATGTTAGTCTAACATATTTTGGAACCCTTAGTAAATCTGAAAAGCGGTTTTGGAGAACTGCTGCAGACAAGTTCAAATTTGAATAAAATGCTTCGCTGAGCGCAGCTGGATAAGACCGCAGAGGTCCAACCCTGAACAGTTGGGGCAAAAATGGACACAATATTCACGCTTGATACAGGTCTGAATTTGGATTGTAATTAAATATTTCACACATAATAGGTTTCTGACACAGAATAACTGTAGTCAAAGAACTTAGAATTGGTTATATGATTTGAATTTATATTCAATTTTTTGCTTTTGTGCAATACACTGTGCCTGTGCGAATTGAACCCGCCCCCCAACAAAAAAATCCCAAAACATGTGAAGAAATTTTGTTTAATTTCTGAAATCTGAAATGAAAAAAAATTGACCCCCCCCCCCTTTTCTAAAAAAAAAAAAATTCTTTCCCTCAAGATATGGTCATAATCTCAATTCAAATTTCCAATGGAGTTTGCAACCATAATTACCCATTTAAATACATCATAAAAGTCTTAAATAGATAATTTAAAAGCAGTGTAAGAGAGGTAATCCAACATTGTACAACATTGTACAATTTTGTTTTTGGATTACCTCCCTCACACTGCTTTTAAATTGTCCATTAACCAGGAAACCCTTGTTTTTTCCCCTTTTTTCCCCCTTATTCCTAAACGGTTTGAGCAATAACCCCCCAAAGCCAATTCTAACCATCTTTTTGTGGTATGGAAACTTGTGGTATAATTTCAGAGAGATCCATACACTTAAACACAAGTTATTGTCTGGAAACTAGAAAAATGCCTTTTTGGGCCTCTTTTTGGGCCCTAATCCCTAAACTGTTAGGACCATAACCCCCAAAACCAATCCCAACCTTCCGTTTGTGGTATTGAACCTTATGGTAAAATTTCATAGAGATCCATTCACTTAAACTATAGTTATTGTGGGTGAAAACCAATGTGTCTTCGGACGACGACGACGCCGTCATACCAATATATGACCACAAAAATTTTTTGAAGATGAAGAAGAAAAAGAAGAATAATAATAAGAAGAAATGAGCAAAACCAATGTCTCTAAACTTTGTTTGGATGACTTAATAAATGAATCATAATTTCCTGTTGATATGCACATCTACATAGAACATGTATGTTCTAACTATCTACAGTGTTTCATGAAATTCTGTAGTGAGGTTTCAGAGGAGTTGCGATGACAAATTGTTGCAGTAACATATTTATGCAAAAATTCTAAGTTCAAAGGGGCATAACTCATGGAATAAACTGTTGACACAGATATATGTCTCACCTATCGGCATAAAATTCAGAAGAAGACAATCTGATGGACAGCAACATTACTTATTAATTCAGTCATTGGACCATGATCTAGTGGGCAGGGCCTGAAAATGGTCGACAAACTGAGATGTACAGACAGTAATGTAACTTTATAGAAAATATATTTGTTTATTGTAAGTAGTTCCTATCAATATAACTTAAGCATAAAAACTTAACATCGAAAATTGCTAATTAATTCAAAGTCACTAGACCATGACCTAGGGGGCAGGGCCTCAAAATAGTCATCAAACTGATATGAACTGATAGTAATGCAACTTCATACAAAATATCATTGATCTATCACAAGTAGGCCTATCAAACTAACTTAAGCAGAAAACTTAACATTGAAAATTGCTAATTTATTCAAAGTCACTGGACCATGACCTAGGGGCAGGGCCTCAAAATAGTCATCAAACTGATATGTACTGATAGTAATGCAACTTCTTACAAAATATCATTGATCTATCACAAGTAGATCCTATCAAACTGACTTGAGCAGAAAACTTTTGTTGACACCGTCGCAGCAATCCCTATGTCTCGCTTTCAGCGTTTTTCAGAGGATTTGTGATGACAAGAAGAGGACTGATGGACAAACGGACGGACAGATGGATGGGTCAAAAATATTATACCCTATGCAACTGTTAAATAGGTGTTGTCAAGACGTTGTCGATGACGTTACATCAGAGCAAATAGTAAATTCGTAGAAAAAGATATAGTTTCTTGCATTTTCTACTTTATTTCCATTAAAAATCCCATTGTCAATGTAATAAAATGAATATCTAATCAAAGAATTCAAATATTGAAAAATATTCAACATGTGACCAAAAAACACTGATAATAAACTCATGGGCTAAGGGCATTCATGAATTAATGTGATGTTCGGTCACTAGTTGAATATTTTTCTATATCTAAATTCTTAGATAAGTTATTCTATAATTTAAATTAAATATCACTTAGAACACAAGACATTACAATCATGCAGGATAAATAAGAAAAAAATGTAAAGTCTTGTGCAACATTTCCAACATTACCTTCTAGACTAGACATGACTGTGTATTTTATTAATACATCTTGCTCAGTAAATTTCTTAGCATGGATAGAACAATCTCAGATAGCCATTGTCCTATACTCAAGATACAGGTCATATGTTTTTTTCAGGAAGAAGCTGTATCAATGAGGAAAGTTTTATTAATTCATTAAATTTTGTTTCTACCTTGGGGAGAAAAACCATAGCTAAATGTTGTCTCCTATTCTGACTGGAAACTCATGGTTAACAATTTTATTTCGAATGGAAGAGGAATAATGGATGTTTACAGATCTTGTTTTAGGATGACATACCAGGGTACCTTTAGAGATCCTGCAAGATAGCTCAGCTAAACAAATGAAATGTATAATAATTCTTGATTTGCTTTTGTTCCTGTTTGAACAATTATGTCTACTGTTGTAATAAACCCTAAATGCTTTACATTCTTTCTTGTATTTCTTAAATACCATTCTACAGCCTTGTTTTCTAATGCTTCTTGTCTTTTAATATCTTCTGCTATTTGATCTGAGACCCAAATTACTCTGTTATGACCAGAAATATCAGGTTGGAAGGATTCCCTTTGAGTTGGTGGTGAAGGTTCATTGTAACCTGGTAATTCAATTCCTGGTGCAGATTCCGGTGAGAAATCTTCATCATATACCACTTCTGATAACTCTGTTAAATCTTCATCCTACAAATCATAGCAATATAAAAGGAAAATAAGGAGATGTAGTATTATTGCTAATAAGATAAACTGTTATCACAGAGATATGTCTCGCCTATTTGTTATTTTGATAAAGCAAATGTTGAAATTAAAATAGCAATACTTTAACATGCAAGTTATGCAAATATTCAAAATCAATGAACCATGACTGAAGGTACAGGGCTAAACAATGTCCATGGAAATGAGATGTGCCAATGCTAATACAACTGCATACCAAATACCATTGACTTTTCATAAGTCGTTCCCTTTAAACAAACCTAAACACAAACATTAACTTGTAAACTATGTAAAAGTTTCAAAGTCGATGAACCATACTGAGGGGGTGGGGTTATATAATCTCCATGGAAATGAAACTTGCAAATGCCAATACATTTGGATACAAAATATCATTGACTTAACATTAGTGGTTCATCTTAAACGGACCCAATCACAAACTAATACATATGTAAACTAAGCAAAAGTTTAAAAGTCAATAGACCATGACTGAGGGGGTAGGGTCAAATATTCTCCATGGAAATAAGATGTGCTAATGCTTATACAACTGCATACCAATTAACATTGGCCTACCACTAACGGTCCTCCTTAAACTGACCTAATCACAAACTAATACATGAAAACTGAGCAAAAGTTTCAAAGTCAATAAACCATGACTGAGGGGGCGGGGCCAAATAATCTCCATGGAAATGAGATATGCCAATGCTTATACAACTGCATACCAAATATCATTAACCTACCACTAGTGGTTCCCCATAAACTGACCTAATCACAAACTAATACATGTAAACTAAGCAAAGTTAAGAAGTCAATAGACCATGACTGAGGGGGCAGGGCCAAATAATCTGCATGGTAATGAGATATGCCAATGCTTATACAACTGCATACCAAATATCATTAACCTACCACTAGTGGTTCACCATAAACTAGACCTAATCACAAACTAACACATTGTTGACACAGCCGCCGCCGGAAACAGCATACCTATGTCGCGCTTTTTTCACCCGTCAAGGCGAGACAAAAACTATCCACAAGTGTCTAAATGATGTGGATGCAAGTAACTATAGGTCATCTTAGGCCATCAGCAATGAGCAAAACCCATACTGTATAGTCAGCTATGAAAAGCACTTACATGACAAAATGTGAAGCAATTAAAACGAGAAAAACCAAAGGCCTGATTTATGACAAAACATTAAATGAAACATAAAAATGACATACATCAATTAACAACAATGACTGTCTGAGATAGACTGCTGACTTGGGACAGGCACATAAAGAATGTGGTTGGGTTAAACATGTTTGTGAGTGCTAAACCCTCCGCATACCTGGGACAGTGGTGTAATATTAAAACATTATAACAAACCATAACAAGAATGTGTCCATAGTACACGGATGCCCCACTCGCACTATCATTTTCTATGTTCAGTGGAACATCAAATTCTGGTCAAAACTCTAATTTGGCATTAAAATTAGAGAGATCACATCATAAGGAACATGTGTACTAAGTCTAAGTTGATTGGACTTCAACTTCATCAAAAACTACCTTGACCAAAAACTTTAACCTGAAGCGGGACAGACGGACAGTCGGACGTACGGACACACAGACCGAAAAACATAATGTCCTTCTACTATTGTAAGTGGGGCATAAAAATCAGTTAAAAATGGCTCAACTCATCAGATTGGGAGAAAGCACAAAAAACAACTCACATAAATTAAAAAGACACAAAGTACAAATCTAAGAGTACCTGCAGATACTGAAAGTCAAGTTGCAAGTTTAGTAAGTCATGTTGCAACAAATTTTTAATTGCCAGTTTACTAAAACTTCAAAATTTTAAAAGCATGCTGTATTAGAAAACCATCTATTAAACTATTCAAGAAATCTTAAAATATCTTAGATACTAAGAGAATACTACACCAAAAGTCAAAATGAAAATTATATATAGGCACAAAATCTTGTAATTAATTGATTTCAAATGTTCGTATTTACATCATACTCATTCAGTTACATCTTTTTTTATGTTTTTTTTAAACCAAAGTGCAGGGATTTGAATACATCCATTCTATTTGCACTGTAACACCTGAAATCACAATCATTTATGATGAAAAATTCAGTGAATGATAGAGCAAAGAAAATCTTTATTACTCTCTGGTTCAATTGCTACAATCATGAAAGATGTTTTTAAAAGAGGTTTTTTCTGATGCAGTCGGTAATAATTTCGGTTTGTGACCTATTTATAAAGGACGCTTCACTATGGTAACGGCATGCATGATGTCACAAATCTTTACTCTGATTGGACAAAATAACAGAATTGAACAAAAACCAACAATAAAAGATATATGCTATAATAAAAGGAAAACATTACGGACATAAAATCAAACTTAAAAATGAAATTATCCAGATAAATAAAAATTAATTCAGGTAAAGAAGGTGTCATTATCACCACTGTAAAATTATTTTGATTTTGTAGGCTTAGCCTTTGATACATGAGTAGGTAAATATCACTGACAGGTTCATTAGATCTACCAGGTCAATTAAGCTATATGAAATAGCTTGAGTGCTATAAATATATATCTTATGGACTAAAACTTCCAAGGCGTAATAACAATCTCAAAGAGTACAAAATATTATTCTTGAAATAAGAAATGTCAAAATACATATATCCGCAAATTTAATTACTTGTCAAAAGCTGTATTATATAGATCATCTCCCTTTGGCGTCCGTCCGTCCTCGATATACACACCGAAAAAGGTTGTATCTCTAATTGTTAAAGTTCTTGACATTTAGTTATAATTGACATTTCTTCATGGATCTAAACTGTTTCAAATTTGTTATTCATTACAGATTGTAACCTACTAATATCTTATTTTTGTGTCTATATAGCAGAGCTATAGGTACTTCTTTGTCTTTGAAATATACCTATATATATTTGTTTTGCATGCACACGTATAAAAATTGTGGTTTTTATCCAATGCAATCATAGGTTTGAACGTTGTTTTCAATTTAGACTTCTTTATATTTTTTCGTTTGGGCTTGTATTATATTTTCCTTCGGGTTTATATGATCCATTCATCCTATTTCGACTCTTCAAAATTCAAGAGTCTATCCTAAATTGAGGTAAATTAAATGGCCTTCCAAATACCATTTCGATTCCTAACATCACTGAAGGGACATTAATTGTCGAAACCCGGATATGGTGTACTAATTTTTGCACCTTTTGTTTGCGGTATACAATCTTTTCCGCAAGTTTATTGTTTTCTGTTTGGTATTAAATTAATAGTTAAGATCCATTTTGTTACATCTGGTGATCTGTTTATTTGGCAATAGCCAATGGCAGTCAGCAGGGTTTAAGAACATCAGTTGTTCGACCTGCTAGTCAAATGCGTTTTGTTAAAATATACTTTTTCACTTTTTTTGGTCTTTTGGAAAATGTTGTTTGTGCTGTATTTAGACCCCTCTACCAAGAAATTTGTTTTTATCCAACGCAATCATAGGTTTGAAAGTTGTTTTCAATTTAGACTTGCCTATATATATATATATATATATATACATTTAGTTAAGTACCATGCAGTATATATTTTAATTTTTTAGGGAAAAGTGCATATACTCAACTTTCAGATTCATCAGCCTTTTTCATGGTTTGTTTTTGTCTTTATGCTCACATCTGAATGCGTCAGATATCTTTTTTAAAGATAGTACTTGTTTGGTGTTATATTTACCAGAGTCAGCCTTTATTTCTATAATGCATGGACCCTGATTAAATCTTGGAAATTTGAAAAGTACATGTACTGAAGTTGGTGTGATACAAACAAATTGATCCCTATACATAAAGTGTAATGATTTTTGTTACCATACTTTTAGTAAGGTTTGCAATCAGGAAAAAATGCGCTCCGCCTGCAGCAGCTGGATACGACCGCAGAGGTCGAACTCTGAACAGTTGGGGAAAGTATGGACACACTATTCAAGCTTGATACAGCTCTGAATTTGGATAGAGATTAAATATTTGACACATTATAGATTTCTGACACAGAATAAATGTGGTCAGATAACTTAAAAAATTTGAAATGGGACATTAAATCTACTTAATGGTCCAATATTCAAAATCTATTTCCATGGTTAAGATTCAGCATATAAAAAAAAAACCCATGAATTCAAACAAAGTTTAATTTTAGACCCTTTAGACCTTAATATGGACTTATTTGAAAACAGGGCCCAAAATTAAAAATCTGAATGTACAGTTAGATTCAGCATATCATAGAACCACAAGAATTCAGTTTTTGATGAAATCAAAGAAAGTCTAATTTTGGACCCTTTGGACCTAAATGTAGACCTATTTAAAAATGTCCAAATATCCAATATAGTAATACATGGTAAAAACCTCAAACAATTCAAGACTTTAAATCAATCCTCATTGAAATTGGTTAAAAGATTTGTATTTATTTTCAATTGAAGACTTCTTGCTGTTGTGCAACACTTTGCTGTTGCGCAATACTTAGTAAATAGATATAAGAAGATGTGGTATGAGTGCCAATGAGACAACTCTCCATCCAAGTCAAAATTTATAAAAGTAAAGCATTATAGGTCACAGTACGGTCTTCAACACGGAGCCTTGGCTCACACCGAACAGTAAGCTATGAAAAGGGCCCCAAAAATTACTAGTGTAAAACCATTCAAACGGGAAAACCAACGGTCTAATCTATATAAAAAACGAGAAACGAGAAACACTTATGAACCACATCAACAAACGACAACTACTGAACATCAGATTCCTGACTTAGGACAGGTGCAAACAAATGCAGCGTGTTTAAACGTTTTAATGGTACCAAACCTTCACCCTTTTTCTGAAACAATAGTGTAACATCACAACATAGAAAGACACACTATAAAATATCAACTGAAATAGCTTAACTCAATCAAAGGACATATTAACACCATTGAACATACACTGAACAAATAAATTTGACCTATGACACAA